CTGAAAAAGACCTCACTCTCAAAGAGGAAATTTTTCTAAACAATGATAACTTGGAAAATCTTACCAATTTTAAACATGCTCAGGCTACTTACTCCCTTAAGCAGAAAGACATCACCTCCTTTTTTAAACAAAAATCTAGGATCAATTGGATTAGTCAAGGTGATGCTAATACTAGTTTTTCCACTCCTATGTTAGGGCTAACCATCTTAAACTCAGGATCCATCACATCACTGATTCCAATGGTAATTGGGTGGATGATGTGGACCAAATAGGGGAGATGGCTTCTAATTTTTTTCAAAAACTTCTCACTCAAGATGAGGACCCTCCTACACATCTTTTTTGATAAAAAGCTCAACCACCTCCCTTCTATTATTACTGAGGGTGATAACGTTTCTCTGTTGGCTCCTATTACCATGACTGATTTGAAAGATGATGTTTTCAAACTTAACAAAAACAGTGCCTCTGGGCCGGATGGTTTTAACGGTCAATTTTATCAGTCTTGTTTTAACATTATCAAAGATGACCTTTTGAACGCCACTAAAGAGTTCTTTTGTGGCGTCCCGGTTCCCAAAATCGCGGGTCATACTTTCATTACCCTCATTCCTAAAGAATACCAACCCACTTCTTTTAATAAATTTAGGCCTATCAGCCTGAGCAATTTTCTTAATAAAATTTTCACCAAGATTCTTACTGATCGCATCACTCCTTTCCTCCACAAAATAATTTCTAAGGAACAAAGCGCTTTTCAAAAAGGTAGGGATATTTCAGATTCTGTTCTAGCTATGCGAGAACTTACGAGATTTCTCCCTAACAAAATCAATGGTCATAATGTTTTCTTTAAAATTGATTTTACTAAGGCTTTTGACCATATCTCTTGGCAGTTCCTCAGTTCCACCCTCATTAAACTTGGTTTCCACCAGCTTTTTGTTAATTTGATCCTCAACAACCTCAAAGGTACTTGGTTCTCTGTCCTCATTAATGGCGTGCCTTAAGGTTTTTTTAACCCCTCCAGGGGGGTCAAACAGGGAGACTCTCTCTCTCCTCTGCTCTTTATTATTGTTTCTGAAGTGTTGTCCAGGAATTTAAATCATATGTACAACGATGGTGGTAGCAGACCTTATCACTCGCTGGTTGGTTTGCCTATTATTTCTCATCTTTCTTACGCTGATGACCTTGTTATCTTTTCTAATGGGAATAAGCGCACTCTGGGTAAGCTCTTTGACATTCTCAAATTGTATGAATTATGTGATGGTCAAAAGATTAACCCTGGTAAAAGTTTCTTTTTCACTGCTCCTAATACTCCTGTTAACACCAATCACATGATAAGAAATGTTTCCAAAATGAACAAAGGTTCCTTCCCTTTCCTCTATTTAGGTGTAAACATTTTTCTGGGCAGGAATAAAAAATGTTTTTACCAGCACCTTGTTAACAAAATTGATAATAAAATCAATGTTTGGTTCAACAAATTGCTTTCGAGTGCTGGTAAACTGATTCTTATTAGGCATGTGCTTGCTACTATTCCCCTGTACCCTATCGTCTCTTCCGTGGTCCCAAAAGGCACTCTAAAAGAAATTGAAAATAAATGCATCAGTTTTTTTGTGGAATAACAACAAACCGATCACCAATAAACACAATTGGAGATCCTGGGATAAATGTGCATATCCAATTAACGAAAATGGTCTTGACTTTCGCAGGTTAATTGAGGTCCAGAAAACTTTCTCATTGAAGCTGTGGTGGAAAGATGAAAGGAACACTGGCCTTTAGGCTAGTATCTTTAACTCTTTCCGTTATCGTCATTTATCTTTCTTCTGGAAATCTATGCATGATGTTAAGGACACTTATTATAGTAATACGCTGGTGCTTGTGAATGATGGCAGTAGGTCTTTTTGGAACTCTAATTGGAGTCCCCTAGGCCCTCTCCAAAACCTACTGCCTGAGGAAGCCGACCATGACCAGGACCTGTCCATTTTTTCTGCTTATCAAGACATCTCTAGGCATACTAGGAATCTGCCCACGACCATTACGCAGACCATTGTTGACTTGAAACCCAATTTTACCAATATTCCTGATGAGACCATTTGGACTTGTTCCTCCAATGGTGATTTTTCCTTCCGTCATGCCTATGATGCAATCAGGTCTGTTGCCCCTATTATCAAGAACATTAATCTGATTTGGAAAAAAACCGGTTCCAAAAAAATATCCTTTTTTCTGTGGCGGGCAATTAATGGTTTGATGATCAGTGGGATATCTTTAAATAATATGGGTTTCAATGGCCCATTTAAGTGTCCCAATTGCAACCATAGTGACTCCCTTGATCATTACTTTCTCAACTGTAAAGCCCATAATAACATTTGGTGTCATTTTGGTTTTAATTCTGGAAATCTGGGGCACACCATCAAAGATTTCATTTTAACCTCTACTAAATCACGTGGCTTTTTAGAAAAGATGATAATTCTATGGAATCTTTGGAAACGTTGGAACACGGCTTTTTTCAAGGATTATATTATAAAAGATTCTGAGGCTATTGTCCGAATTAACAAGGACCTCTATGATATATATGGTTGGCGAAACCCCCATTGGACGAAAAAGAAAAATGCTAGTATTTACCGATGGTCTCCTCCCCCTTGTAACAAATTTGCTGTTAACATTGCAATTACCCAAGCTGGAATGATCTTTAAAGGCGGTGTTGTTGTTCGTAATCACAAAGGGGAGTTAGCATTTCACCTTCAAGTAAATTACTTTGACACCTCCCCTTCAAGTAAGCATTTTTTGAAACAATACTTACTGCCTTTAATGTTTGCAGGAATAGATCCCTGCAAATTCACAATCTGGACTTTGATAACAAGCAAGTCAAAAGGGCAATTCAACACCACTGCATAGGTCATTGGGACAACATCTACAAAATTTCGAGGATAAGGAAGATTTTGAATTATGATCATACTAACATCAACATTATCCCTGAAAATACCAATAAAGTTGCTAGATACATAAGCCTGGGGAATGACGTGAAATCTGCTCACTTTTCTAAGATTCTCAAATTTGATGCAATAGGCTTTCCATATGTTGTCTAACCACTATTTGTGTGGGCTTCGGTTTTATACCCTCCTACCTAAGTTTGTAATCGGGTCTTTCATAGAGTAGGCTTTGGTCTAATCCTCCTACTCATGTATTTTTTATTATCTTTTTTAATAAATAGGTGAGGTGTTTCCTGGAAAAAAAATTATTAGGGGAAATGGAAATTAATAATCCAATCTTTTAGCGGTCTTCTTACAATAGTCCTCACCTTATCGTTATTTATTAATAATCCAATCTTTGCGCCTCATCTTCATTCGTTGGTCCCTGACCAGTTGATGACCTGCTATTCCAGGTTTTTTCATTTTCTTTGCAAATCATTCAACCATAAATCTCACTTTTCACAAATCTTCTCCAAGGTGTCCCACGTATCATTTTTCATTTTTCTTCATAAAACCTTTGCCTTTTTATTTTTAATGTCTTGACTCTTTTATTCTCCTTTTTATCTTCTTATTCTTATTTGGGAAAATTACGGAAAAGATACTTGTGGTTGGGCCCGTTTTCAAATAGGGTCATGTGTTTCATTTTTTTATCAAAGTGGTACATGTGTTTGAATTCCGTTATCACAATATGGTCACGCCGTTAAAAAGGCCTGAGAAAGACGATTAATAGTAACTCTGATTTTCAAAAGTGTCCGGAAAATTAAAAGAAAAACATTGAAAGGTGTGCCACGTTAAGATGACCTCCAAACCACCTTCTCCTTAAGATATTTCGGATCTGTTTGAATTATTTTTTAAAAATGATTTCGCTAATATCACTTTTCTGGTAAACTCTACGGTGACAAGGTTGGCTGGAAACAAAAAAAAGAAAGATGACCTAGTGGTTGTCTTGTTGAGACGCACCTTCCGGTATCTTCTTTTAATTGTTCAGGCACTTTTAAAAATCGGAGTTACTATTAGTCGTCTTTCTCGGGCGTTTTTAACGACGTGACCCATAACGCAATTCAAACACATGAATCACTCTGATAAATAAAATGAAACACAAGACCCTATTTGAAAACGGGCACAACCACAAGTACCTTTTCCGTAATTTCCCTTGTTATTTTTATTACTTTTCAAGTTTTTATCTTTTTTCACCGTACTAACTTTTTACTTTATTTTCTTTTTACTTACACTTATTTATTTCAATTTTCCTTTTCTTATCTTTATTCTACCACTAATATATTTTTGAGAAAATAGCTCCAAAATAGGACTAAATTAATCTCTAAATGCAAAAATAGGACTACGTTATTTATCTTCCCCAAATAGGACTAAAGTACCAGTAGTTTACCTTCTTATTCTACATTTCTATGTTTACCATAACTTAATAGGATAATCATATTTTACATTATATTAAAAATAAAAATAACAAAGGTATTTCAATTTATAAAAATATAGAACCAAATTAAAAAGAAGGGGCATTTGACTTTGCACCCCATTCAAAAACTTTTCTTCACAAAGTGTTATGTGTTGGGGGGGTGCAAATTGATCGAAAGTTTTTTCAAAATGGAGTGCAAAGTCCAATATCACCGAAAAAGAGGAGTGCAAAGTTATATTCCCCCTAAAAAGAAAGTTAAAACAAAATTTTAATGTGTTTTATCTGGTTTTATTTATTTTTAAAGTTTTCTTTAAATTAATTTTTATCACTATTTATTACTCCGTATTTATTATTTTTAAAGCTGTTGTGACCCAAGCTAACAAACTGACTGAAATAATAAAGCTTAATAGCAGGATGTAGACTGAGATCGAAGTATTTGTTACAGGCAACAAACAAACTATATATATCGGCGAACTGATCGGTCTCACCTGGAATTATCTATTGGATAGGAGCAAAGTAGACGTACGGGTGGAACAGAAGATGAGTAAGAGGAATTACGCATCTGACTGGTTTTCCCCTTCTTTTCTCCAGCATATATAACAAGGATGAGCGGAAGGTGCGAAGTCCGTTCAGGCCGATGTAACTTGCTAGTGCAGTAAAAATAACCCCAGGTAAAATTACTGTTTCAATGGGACATACGATAGTATTAACTAGCCAATGGAAATAAGTCTTTAATCTATCTATAAATAATACGCAGTACATTTCAATCATTTAAAACAATATTCTAAATTCTCTTTCCAATTTAGTAAATTAATTAATTAGACTTCCGTTAAATTAGTATTTAAAGTAGATTCGAACTCATGTTAGGTTAATCTCTAGGGTTGCACCTCGCACCGCCTAGGATTCGTCCGCCTTCGGTTTTGCCGAAGGGCGAGTTTGGATTGGCTGCTTTGGGCGGCACTTCGGATAAAGGCAAGAAGCGTGTTAGTACATCCATATATTACATTCTGTCAAACTTATATTTATTCATACTAAAAAGAACAACTATTTGCCCTGTCTATAAAAATCTATTATGAACAACTATTCATATATTCATACATTATATACATCCATATATATACACAATTAAAGGACAAAAATTTAATCTTTTACTAATTAGGGGGGGAAATATTAGAAAGAATATAATAAAAATATAACTAAAAATAAATGGGGTGGGTACGGAGCGGGTAATGGGGTGGGCATGTATAAAATCATAACCATCTCCGCTACTCGTGAAAATAAAACGGGTATTCCCCACCCCATGCGCGATACCCAGTCATATCGGTTTCCCCCATTTTGACAGGAGCCGTTGAGTGCGATCCATCGTATCGGTAATCATTGTCATCTCTACTCCAAATCAGACCATATTTAAACAGATCAAACCATATTAGATCATAATATTTTAGACCAATTAAAAACATCTTTAAAGGAGCCCGCCTTAAATTTAGAGCTCCATACAACAACAACACCCAAGTCTTAATCACAAAAGATTCTAATGTGCCGAAATAAGTAAATAAAACTAATAGGAGTAATATGGATGTTTTTAATTGGGCTGATTTTTTTTTGTATAGACTGATATGGCCTGGTATCTCTAAAATGAGAAACTCTCCAAGAGTCACAAAGACACCCTTCCAGCAACTTCATTTCTGGTATGATCTGTGACTGAAATCAGTTCAAGTAAAAACATTCTAACACTCTCACAACTCAACCCTTATATAATATCAAATTTTGACACTGCAAATTCATTTAACTGCATTTTCTTAACTGCATTAATGTATGCAAATGAAATTTGGGCAATTATTGTGGAAATAATTTGTTTATGGTTCGTGGATTCCTCTTTCAACGTAATTACTACTCATGGGTTGATTCTATCATATATGAATTGTAAAACTTAATAAATTTATCTAGATATCATCCTAAACAACGATATTCTATTTTAAAACTACACCCCCATATTGAGAACTGAAAAATGATCTTAATTTTCATGATAAAAAAGTAGTATATTAAAATTACATCATTTTTAGTGTCAGGATATGATTTCTATATATATAATTAATAAAACTTTACCAGTGTATGAAAGTTTCTAAAATATAAGGAGAATTGGTAACATAATTAAAACCTCATTGAAAGAGGAATAATAGTGCATAACGCCCTACTATAATATATACTATCAAACTAAACTATCAATAAAATTTTCTTCTCCATTTAGCAAAGAATTTGTCAGCTTTCAGAGATTTACAAAGAGATATTTGTTAAATATATGAGATTTCTTAAATTTGATAAAGAATCAAGACAAATTTTATTAAGTTTTTTCTCAAATATTAGAAGCTTGGTATACTTTCATGTGTTTGCTTTTTCTACGTACCAATGACTTCATTTATATTGTCTATAGGTTTCAAAATGAATTAAAAGAAGACATCTATCTATATCTATCTATAATAATATAATAATATAATATAATATAATATAATATAATATAATATAATATAATATAATATAATATAATATAATATAATATAATATAATATAATATAATATAATATAATATAATATAATATAATATAATATAATATAATATAATATAATATAATATAATATAATATAATATAATATAATATAATATAATATAATATAATATAATATAATATAATATAATATAATATAATATAATATAATATAATATAATATAATATAATATAATATAATATAATATAATATAATATAATATAATATAATATAATATAATATAATATAATATAATATAATATAATATAATAATATAAAGTAACAAGGTTTAGCACCTTGATTTTCCCTCCAATTAGACAATTAATGCTCTATGCCTATTCAACAATAAGAGTCATATTATGCAATTAGTAATAATAATAGACATAGTAAATAGTAATATATTATGGAGTAATTGGAATATTTTCATCTATAATAATATAAAGTAACGAGGTCTAGCACCTTGCTTTTCCCTCCAATTAGACAATTAATGCTCTATACCTATTCAATAATAAGAGTTATATATCTATATATATATAATAACAAAATCTTGGCAATCCACTTTGGGCGGGAAAGATTGTACCAAAAAAATGGAGGTGGGGTGGGGATGTGGGTGGGGTGAGATAAATGATTAAGTTTTTGGAAACCGAGGTGATTAATGAATGGGCAGGAAATGTTTGGCCCTTGACTTATCCCATATTAATGCTACGTATTATTTAATTTGATTTAATAATATAATAAAGTATTAGTCTTTTTTTGGCATAATAATAATAATATACGTAGTACGAAGTAGTAGTTAGTGAAGAGTTCTTATTGGTACCGACAACATAAATAGATAATTTGGTTAATTGTGCCATATACTATCGGTACACAACTTGGTTAATTGTGCCATATACTAAAACGAAATATTTGATTAATTTTAATGTATTGTTTAAGGTAATACTCTGAACACATACATGAAGCTTAATAAATACTGTATATACTTTGAAGATATTCCGTCTATTCCAATTTAATTGTTCCGTTGCGGTTTGCGATGATTAACCAAAGATAAAGCAAATAAATCTCTATCAGCATTCGAATTATTTCTAACAATAAAAAATTGGAACAAGAGATTAATAGTGATTTGTATTGACCAAATAAATAGATAAATAGAAAATTTGAAGATCAAATTGAGATGGAGGTCAAGTTTAATAAATAGGAACAAATACGTAATGTTTTTAAGTGATTTGCTTTTTCAAATAAAAATGATTTTTTATTTTCTTCTTTTGGAACTGGATTTTTTTTCTCTTGATAACCGAAAAGGCTTTCTCAAACCACCAAAACTTGAAAAGGTGTCCTGGCAACACAATTATTTCAATAGTGACATGATAAACGACTAACTGTTTTAGAGGCTAACTAGATAGCCTCATTTATTTATTTAAATTAGTACATGAGAATGGAAGAGTCGAGATTGTTATGGTGAACTAAAAAGGCAGCCTTGATATTGGCAAACTTCATTAATGAAAACATGGTGATCCATATCATACCAGTATAAATAACACATGCACATGCAAACGGTCAGACATAATTCCCTTGCATCGATCAAGTGCAGTGTTGAAGTTTCTTACGATTTTGATTGTTCTTTCGCAGAGGTAACTCTATCTTACTACGTAGATTTTTATTTTTCAGCTTTTGAAAAAATTGTTAAATTATTTGAAAGAATAAATTTTATGTGTTAAATTTCATACTAATTGCACTTACTAAAATTATTTTAATTTGAATGAAAGTGGAGATTGATTTTAGTTTTATCAGTTCAAACCATATACAGATAATAATATACGAAGTAATGTATATAGAATATGATTTCTTACGTGTATTAGTTGATGCAATATTATCATAAACAAATAATGCATCACTTTTATTTTTGCCGAAAAACATTAACATGGGTGGTGGTCCAGTGGATTTGGAGAAGATTTTGGTGCTTTGGGCGGCACTTCGGATAAAGGCAAGAAGCGTGTTAGTACATCCATATATTACATTCTGTCAAACTTATATTTATTCATACTAAAAAGAACAACTATTTGCCCTGTCTATAAAAATCTATTATGAACAACTATTCATATATTCATACATTATATACATCCATATATATACACAATTAAAGGACAAAAATTTAATCTTTTACTAATTAGGGGGGGGAATATTAGAAAGAATATAATAAAAATATAACTAAAAATAAATGGGATGGGTACGGAGCGGGTAATGGGGTGGGCATGTATAAAATCATAACCATCTCCGCTACTCGTGAAAATAAAACGGGTATTCCCCACCCCATGCGCGATACCCAGTCATATCGGTTTCCCCCATTTTGACAGGAGCCGTTGAGTGCGATCCATCGTATCGGTAATCATTGTCATCTCTACTCCAAATCAGACCATATTTAAACAGATCAAACCATATTAGATCATAATATTTTAGACCAATTAAAAACATCTTTAAAGGAGCCCGCCTTAAATTTAGAGCTCCATACAACAACAACACCCAAGTCTTAATCACAAAAGATTCTAATGTGCCGAAATAAGTAAATAAAACTAATAGGAGTAATATGGATGTTTTTAATTGGGCTGATTTTTTTTTGTATAGACTGATATGGCCTGGTATCTCTAAAATGAGAAACTCTCCAAGAGTCACAAAGACACCCTTCCAGCAACTTCATTTCTGGTATGATCTGTGACTGAAATCAGTTCAAGTAAAAACATTCTAACACTCTCACAACTCAACCCTTATATAATATCAAATTTTGACACTGCAAATTCATTTAACTGCATTTTCTTAACTGCATTAATGTATGCAAATGAAATTTGGGCAATTATTGTGGAAATAATTTGTTTATGGTTCGTGGATTCCTCTTTCAACGTAATTACTACTCATGGGTTGATTCTATCATATATGAATTGTAAAACTTAATAAATTTATCTAGATATCATCCTAAACAACGATATTCTATTTTAAAACTACACCCCCATATTGAGAACTGAAAAATGATCTTAATTTTCATGATAAAAAAGTAGTATATTAAAATTACATCATTTTTAGTGTCAGGATATGATTTCTATATATATAATTAATAAAACTTTACCAGTGTATGAAAGTTTCTAAAATATAAGGAGAATTGGTAACATAATTAAAACCTCATTGAAAGAGGAATAATAGTGCATAACGCCCTACTATAATATATACTATCAAACTAAACTATCAATAAAATTTTCTTCTCCATTTAGCAAAGAATTTGTCAGCTTTCAGAGATTTACAAAGAGATATTTGTTAAATATATGAGATTTCTTAAATTTGATAAAGAATCAAGACAAATTTTATTAAGTTTTTTCTCAAATATTAGAAGCTTGGTATACTTTCATGTGTTTGCTTTTTCTACGTACCAATGACTTCATTTATATTGTCTATAGGTTTCAAAATGAATTAAAAGAAGACATCTATCTATATCTATCTATAATAATATAATATAATAATATAATATAATATAATATAATATAATATAATATAATATAATATAATATAATATAATATAATATAATATAATATAATATAATATAATATAATATAATATAATATAATATAATATAATATAATATAATATAATATAATATAATATAATATAATATAATATAATATAATATAATATAATATAATATAATATAATATAATATAATATAATATAATATAATATAATATAATATAATATAATATAATATAATATAATATAATATAATATAATATAATATAATATAATATAATATAATATAATATAATATAATATAATATAATATAATATAATATAATATAATATAATATAATATAATATAATAATATAAAGTAACAAGGTTTAGCACCTTGATTTTCCCTCCAATTAGACAATTAATGCTCTATGCCTATTCAACAATAAGAGTCATATTATGCAATTAGTAATAATAATAGACATAGTAAATAGTAATATATTATGGAGTAATTGGAATATTTTCATCTATAATAATATAAAGTAACGAGGTCTAGCACCTTGCTTTTCCCTCCAATTAGACAATTAATGCTCTATACCTATTCAATAATAAGAGTTATATATCTATATATATATAATAACAAAATCTTGGCAATCCACTTTGGGCGGGAAAGATTGTACCAAAAAAATGGAGGTGGGGTGGGGATGTGGGTGGGGTGAGATAAATGATTAAGTTTTTGGAAACCGAGGTGATTAATGAATGGGCAGGAAATGTTTGGCCCTTGACTTATCCCATATTAATGCTACGTATTATTTAATTTGATTTAATAATATAATAAAGTATTAGTCTTTTTTTGGCATAATAATAATAATATACGTAGTACGAAGTAGTAGTTAGTGAAGAGTTCTTATTGGTACCGACAACATAAATAGATAATTTGGTTAATTGTGCCATATACTATCGGTACACAACTTGGTTAATTGTGCCATATACTAAAACGAAATATTTGATTAATTTTAATGTATTGTTTAAGGTAATACTCTGAACACATACATGAAGCTTAATAAATACTGTATATACTTTGAAGATATTCCGTCTATTCCAATTTAATTGTTCCGTTGCGGTTTGCGATGATTAACCAAAGATAAAGCAAATAAATCTCTATCAGCATTCGAATTATTTCTAACAATAAAAAATTGGAACAAGAGATTAATAGTGATTTGTATTGACCAAATAAATAGATAAATAGAAAATTTGAAGATCAAATTGAGATGGAGGTCAAGTTTAATAAATAGGAACAAATACGTAATGTTTTTAAGTGATTTGCTTTTTCAAATAAAAATGATTTTTTATTTTCTTCTTTTGGAACTGGATTTTTTTTCTCTTGATAACCGAAAAGGCTTTCTCAAACCACCAAAACTTGAAAAGGTGTCCTGGCAACACAATTATTTCAATAGTGACATGATAAACGACTAACTGTTTTAGAGGCTAACTAGATAGCCTCATTTATTTATTTAAATTAGTACATGAGAATGGAAGAGTCGAGATTGTTATGGTGAACTAAAAAGGCAGCCTTGATATTGGCAAACTTCATTAATGAAAACATGGTGATCCATATCATACCAGTATAAATAACACATGCACATGCAAACGGTCAGACATAATTCCCTTGCATCGATCAAGTGCAGTGTTGAAGTTTCTTACGATTTTGATTGTTCTTTCGCAGAGGTAACTCTATCTTACTACGTAGATTTTTATTTTTCAGCTTTTGAAAAAATTGTTAAATTATTTGAAAGAATAAATTTTATGTGTTAAATTTCATACTAATTGCACTTACTAAAATTATTTTAATTTGAATGAAAGTGGAGATTGATTTTAGTTTTATCAGTTCAAACCATATACAGATAATAATATACGAAGTAATGTATATAGAATATGATTTCTTACGTGTATTAGTTGATGCAATATTATCATAAACAAATAATGCATCACTTTTATTTTTGCCGAAAAACATTAACATGGGTGGTGGTCCAGTGGATTTGGAGAAGATTTTGGTGCTAACAGAAAAAATAGTGCAGAAAAATTGATCCATTATTCTTATCAGACAACGAATGTAATTGATCCATTATTCTTATCAGAAAAAATTGATCCATTATTACTAAAGTTTTGTAGATAAATTCATACATATGTAATATATCATGCTATGGCCTATGGGTAACAATTAACTGTGATATGTTACAGATGTCTCCCACTTATGGGCTTGTGAAGGATATTACACCAAAGGACACCCATTGGGCATTGAGGTTGCGATTAGTTCGGATGTATGAAAATGTGAGTGATGAGGGAGCCGTTAGGGGTCTTGAATGTGTCTTCCATGATAGAGAGGTAACCAAAGACATACAAATATGTTTAAATTATTACAAAAATACATATCTAATATGTGTTATATGTTTAAATTATTACAAAAATACATATCTAATATGTGTTATATTTATTGGATGCTGTTGTTTATAAATACTTAATAATTATTAAAAATACTTTAGCTACAGAGAATCCACGCCACCATCAAAAGCTTTCACACGCCACAATTTAAGGACGTCCTTAAAGAAGGTTTGTTGTATAAGATTCGGCATTTCATGGTGGCTACCGATGGAAAAGACTACAAGACCACTACCAACAAATATAAGATCATCTTTTTTAAGAAAACAAAAGTTTTTGAGTTTGAAGATGCAACGTTTCCTAATGAGGTTTATAAGTTCAGACAATTCGAGACAATATTGTCCACAAAGATCTTGAATGAGAAGGAAATGTTTGGTAAGCAACTCCTTTAGTTTATATGAAGATGGCGAATAAAATTAAAATTTTGTTTTACATTAATCATATGTCTTATGCAGATGTGATATGCGTGGTTGTTGGCAAGTATGGTCTAAAGGAACTCACATACAACAACCGTCCTCATAAGATTATGGAGATTGTTGTTTGTGATAATATGTACGTCAAACGTATACGTAGTATTAGATTAAAGAAACTTATTTGTTTGTTGATTATCCATTTGGTTATGCTAATAAATTTTTCCGTTTTTTAAATCAAAGGATGAGACAACTACGATGCTCTTTATGGGATCAGTATGCCGACCAAATTTTACCATATATGGCAGACGATTATCCTGGACCTGTTATATTGATATTACAATTCTGCCGGGCCAAAATGTTTCAAGGTTGTAAATGTGAAGTCATATCTGTGTGTGGGTGTGTACAGTCTAAACATTAGGTATAAATTATGTATTGTTATTATTGTACAGGTGAGCCGAAGTTGTGTGATTCTTTAAATATCACCAAGCTTATTGTGAACGGAGATGGTGTGGAATTCCAGAATTTTAAGGATAGGTTGGTAGTATACTACGTATATGTTTTCCGAAAGATAATAATAAGACCTTATATTTTTTTAAAATTTAATAACATTGTGTGACTTTTGGGCTTATATAGCATTGTTGATAGGACTGCTTTGTCACAAACAATTACCACTCTTTCGGCCACTTATAAACCGTTCCTTGATGAACTAAATAGCTTGGTTATGCCTTTATGAGACTAAGGAGGTTTGTTCTAATTTTGCCAATTCAGTATTTGCCTTCTATATATGAATTTTGATCTTATTAAAATTAACTTATAATTTAATACTTTGTTTATTTCACAGGCGGGAAGTTTCTGGATCTATGTGAAAGTTGTTGAGATAGAAAATGAAAATGATTGGTGGTATCTTGCATGCAATAGATGCTCCAAGAAGTTGGAAAAATCCCATGCCAATTTTTATTGTACAAAGTGTGCTAGGGTTTGTACTGAAGGTGTTACAAGGTAGGTTGTGAAATAAATTTAATATTTCACATGTTTAATGATATTTTTTACTTAATTAAATTTATCTTTGATTAGTTTTTATACATTGGAATTGCATACCCCGTGCATCGCACGGGTACTATACTAGTTAATAATAAAGTAACAAGGTTTAGCACCTTGATTTTCCCTCCAATTAGGCAATTAATGCTCTATGCCTATTCAACAATAAGAGTCATATTATGCAATTAGTAATAATCATAGGCATAGTAAATAGTAATATAATATGGAGTAATTGGAATATTTTCATCTATAATAATATAAAGTAACGAGGTCTAGCACCTTACTTTTCCCTCCAATTAGACAATTAATGCTCTATACCTATTCAATAATAAGAGTCATATTAATAATTTGCAATTAGTAATAATAATAATAGGCATAGTAAATAGTAATATATTATGGAGTAATTGGAATATTTTCAATTCAAAATCTATCTATAATAATATAAAGTAACAAGGTCTAGCACCTTGCTTTTCCCTCCAATTAGACAATTAATGCTCTATACCTATTCAACAATAAGAGTCATATTAATAATTTGCAATTAGTAATAATAATAGGCATAGTAAATACTAAATAGTAATATAGTATGGATTAATTGGAATATTTTCAATTCAAATTAATAATAATGATAATAATTTTAATAATAATAGTAATGATAATAATGTAATAATATGATACATAATTGACGGGATTTCAGTTAACACAAAAACACATTAGAACGTTTACAATATTTTGATTTGAATGTTTTCAATTATAAGCTACAACAGACCAGATTAAAAGAAACTAGACCAAATCACATCAAATTTAAATACAATAGACTTGATCATATCATAATAGATAAGTAAAATATACATACACTTGACACTTACCGAACCAGATCAGATTAGTCCATCAGATCAACTTAAACGGACATGATCATAAAACTTTAGTCCAATTAAAAACATGATTATTGTTGTCTTGCAGTACATAAGAAAATTTCAATGACATCTTATAGGTATAGGTATTGATAATAGTTATAATAATAATAATAATAATAATAATAATAATAATAATAATAATAATAATAATAATCTTCTATAATAATATAAAATAACAAGGTGTAGCTTGCGTTTCCCTCCAATAAGACATTTAATGATTTCATACTCATTAAACAATAAGAGGTACATCAAAAATTAGCAATGATAATAGTAGTACTAAATAGTAATATACTATCTATTATGGAGTAATTGAAATAAATTTTCAATTCAAAATAATAATATAATAATAGTAATATATAATTGGCAGGATTTCAGTTAACACATATTAGAACGTTTATGATATTTTGATTGGAATGCTTTCAATTATAAGCATACACCTTCAAAGAGTCACTTTTTCTACTAATATTATGAAAATGCATTACTCTGTACATATTGATATTGAGTGTTTGATAATGTAAAAAATTTGATTTTAAAGCTATACTATCGATTAATGTTTTGCTTATTGGATGTTTACAAATATTTCAGCGTTACTCAATTACTTGAATCCTTTGTAATTATATTCTATAAACAAAGCAATGAGATGAAGCAGAACAAGTCAAAGCTCGTGCAACGCACGATTTCCTTAAAACGTATTCGTTGCCTCCCGGGGTGCTAGGAGCGTTGCAACGATCGTTTCCCAGGATACGATGGCTTCGAACGATAGTTTAGCACACAAACTAAAGTTCCAACGAACGTGAACAAAGTAAGAGCACAGAAGGAATTTTTGGGAGAAGGCTGGAGTGTTTTTAGAGTTAGAAACAAGTGCAGTACGTATGAGTGTTGTGTCCTTTTGCAAACCAGCACCCAGCCTTATATAGGGGAGGATATTAGGTGTATTTATGGCATATGAACGTTGGACATCAATGCCCAAGATTTGGGACATTGATTCCAGCCAAAAACGTTCATATGAACGTTGGGACTTCAAGGCAGCATGCTGGCATTGATTCTACACATGCCACCAGTCCAAAACGTTTGCATCAAGGGCCATGAACGTTGGGAATATAGGATTTTCATGAACGTTATCTCTAGAAGATAGGATTTTCGGACGGCATTCGTGTCCGCAGGTCGCCCGCGCACGCAAGTCACGCTTTTTGTTCTTCGGTTTCGGGATTTGATTCGCCCCCCCCCCCCCCTGCGCGCGTGGAGAGAGCCTTTACCCTAAGGAATCTTAACTCCTTAAGGGGGGTTTCCCTTTATAAAGGGTTCAAATTCCCTTGTGATTTTCGGTGTGGGAAAAACTCATACCAAAACCACACATTTTCCTAGTTTTCTCCATTCCAACGGGTACACTTCGAAAAGCGATTTCTCATTCACCCGTTATCCGTTTTGAGCGTACCATATATCGAATTGTAGCCCTAAGCAAGGACTATCCGAAACCACTTTGACCCGACCCAAATTGGAAGTGGACCCCGCTCAAAAAATTGCCCCAAAATGACCATTTAATGCAATTTAACACACTTTTTTCCAACAATTACTACTTATGGTTAGTTTATATCATGAATCGTTAATCTTAATAGATTTATCTAAATAATGTTCTAAACAATGATATCTATTATTAAACTACAAACCCATATTAAGAAACAAAAAATGGTCTCAATTTTCGTGATCAAAACTCAAAAGTACTACGAAAATTAGAGATACATCCATGAGTGAAACAATTACCTTTTATACACAATATAGCTTATTTATTTATCTCATAAATATCACTTTTAGTATCAGGATATGATTGATATATATATATATATATATATATATATATATATATATATATATATATAATTAAATAAAACTTTACAGGAGTATTGAATGTTTACAAAATATAAGGAGAAATTGGTAAAGAGATGCCTATTGGAAAGGGAATAATAATGCATAATGGTCTACTATAATATGTACTATTAAACTAAATTGTGATTTGTCAGCTTTCAGAGATTTACAAAGAGACATTTGGCGAAAATATGAAATTTATTACACGATGAAGTCTATAAACAAATAATTTGGTAGCTTCCATTTAGATCTCCGAAAGTTTATTCATTACACATATAGCAATCATGTCCTCACACTAAAAGTGGTGTTTGAGAGCGAGATAAATAAGCTAGACTGTTTACAAAAGGTAATTTTTGTACTTGTGGATGTAACTTTAATATAGTACTATTAGGTCATGAAAATTGAGATCATTTTTCGTTTTTGAATTTGAGACTTTTGTCTTTTATTTTGTACATGTTTCGATTACTAGCCACTTCTTGATGTGAGACTCTTTGTATAGATTAAATTCATATCACTATCTAGGTAAAAATTGAAAACTAAAAGCCTAAAGCATGCAACCATTCTTTGTTCAATAACACTTATTTTACCTGATAAGATCATAGTACACTCAATAACTCAATCTAATGAAAAATAAATTAACTGCTGCCAATCGTGTATACGCAGCATGTTGTCGCCGCCATCACCTTCATTGAAATCAAAATGTCATGAAACTATATATTCTATACTCTTTTCTTAAAGAAAGAGACCGAAGGACTAATTTGTAAGTACTAAATCCTAGAAGCGCTACTATCTTAAATGAAATTGACTACACCTCTTATTAAATAGATACATTACAAAAATATGTAGTTTTTTTTAAAGCCACAAATAAAATCTATTGGATAAAAAAAGGCATGGAGCAATTTTGTTTTTTTTTTGTTTAGGTAAAGATCGTTGAAAAGACTAATTTCATTTGGATGCAACCGAGAGTTATAAAAAAAATAGTCTCATTCAATTAAAAAAAATATAGAGTGAGAACATGCTTAAATAATTAGTTAAAAAACAAGACATACTCAATAAATAAGAATATGTATTATTAACCGATGTTATAATAGATTAAATACATGATTTTTCGTCACTTATGATAACACATACATATGATAGTGGACATATATATACTAAAATAAAAAAATTAAATCATTCTATCCCGTACACGGCACGGGTAAAAGTAAGTTATGTAAACATATTAAAAGAAATAAGGGACGGTCACCACCAAAACATTTTTTAACTTTCTTTTTATTTTGTTACCATATTTTTATACATTCCTTTTGTTATTTTCCATTTTATTATAATATAAAACATGATTATCCTATTAAGTTATGATATGCGTAGAAATGTAAAATAAGAAGATAGATGATACTTTAGTCCTATTTTGGGAAGATAAATAACATAGTCCTATTTTTTTATTTAGTGATTAGTTTAGTCCTATTTTAGGGCTATTTTCTCAAATATATATTAGCTGTAGAATAAAGGTGAGAAAAGGAAAAAAGAAATAAATAAGTGTAAGTAAAAAGAAAATAAAGTAAAAAATTAGTACGGTGAGAAAAAGATCTTTTATAAGAAAACTAATCTGAAAAAATATATAAAAATGAAAATGGAATAATAAACGGGAAGAAGAATACATAAACATTAAAAAATGCAAAATAATAAAAATAAGAGTACCCAAAGAGGAAATAAAAGAGTCAAGTCGATAAAAATAAAAAAGGAAAAGTTTTAGGTTGAAAAATGAAAAATGATACGTGGGACCGCTTAGAGAAGATATGTGAAAGGTGGGATTTAGGGTTGAATGGTTTGCAAAGAAAATGAAAAACCTGGAATAGCAGGTCACCAACTAGTCAGAGGCCAACGAATGAAGATGAGGCGCAAAGGTTGGACTATTCATGAATAACGATAAGGTGAGACTATTGTAACAAGACCACTAAAAAGTTGGATTATTAATTTCCATTTTCCCTGTAGCACTTAAGATTATATATAGACATGTATAATTTCTATCACTTTTGAACTTTTTTTTAAGTGATTTGGGAAAAAGTGATTTATAGTAAAATTTGGTAATGTTTGAGAAAAAAGCGAATTTGAAAAGTAAAAGTTTGCAGTGTTTTGTAAATTAAATTCTTTTTGTGTAGGCTAAAGGGTCAAATAGGCACTCGAACTAACTTAGAAAGTGCAAATC